CATTGAAACAGATGCAAACTTTCTTCGTTGTTTTCTTTTTTTGTCTTGTTAGAATGGACGCGGTTTGGACGTTGGTCACTACCACTAATAGTTTGTTTAATGAAATCACATCGAAACCACGCACCGTCAACGTGTATGACACACATATCAATGGTGAGATGGTGAGGTGAGAGGGCTATGAGGATCGATCGCGTGCGTGAATTCATTTACATTTTCCAACATTTTCGTGCGTCCGTATCGATTATTCAATAGAAATGTTGTTGTTATTGTTGCGGTTTCGGTCGATATGCCCACTACCTTTCGTTCGCGTCCTGTTAAGATATTCTATAACTGTGTATTATTATTGTAATTTGTAAAACGAATCGGCCATCAACTGATTGTGCGCTGCCCAATGGACAGTTGTGGTATTTTCATTTAGTATTTTTCCTCACTCTCTCTCTCTCTCTCCCTCTCTTGCATTACGTTTGCGTATCGAACAACGTGCTTGTTTCGTTTTCACTTCTCTCCCCTCTGTTTCTAGCCCCAATCTTGGTTGTGCGTTCATTCTTTATCTGTCGCAATGGCATTGGTTTGCAATGTTCGTTAGCAGTCGATGAGTATCAGTGATTAAACTCATATGGCTTTACTGCGATACAATTTCGGGTTTTCATTGTCTAATTTTAGATTGTTTCAGTTTCAGTCACACAAACCATTTTCGACGTTATGCAACGATTAAACGAGAGTAAAATGATTTTTAATCGAGCTTTTATTATACTGGTATGGGGAAGCGCTAACGAAAATACCATCGAAATTAATGTGAATGGAAACCTTGTGGTGCGTGTGATTTTTTTTCCTTTTTCTTCGTTCTTTTACTCTCTCTCTCTCTCTCTCTCTCTCTCTCTCTCTCTTTCTCTCTCTCTTTCTCTCTCTCTCTCTCTCTGTCCGAAATTTTTATGATCACATTCTGCACATTACTCTCTTTTGTAATTTGGGTATTTTCGGGATGATTTAATTGGAATGGTTTGACGTCACCGGTTCGCCTCTGTTCTCCAATGTCTCTTATTTCATTTGGAACCCGATTGTTTTTTTTTTCGTTGTCGAATTGAAGAGCGGAATTCGATGAAAAAGCGTATGTCTATCTCTCTGTGTTTGTATGTTGTCACAACCATACATAGAGCAATGTTTTGTTTGGATTCGATTTGCGTTTTTTTCCACTTAAATTTGATGCATGCCCTCGAGCTGATTTCAATTGATTTTTTCTGCTGCTGCTGCTGCTGCTGCTGCTGCTGCTCTGATGACGTTAGGTAAACTCTCGACAACAAATGATGTAAATCTTGTGTTTTCCTTTCACATTTTGTTTTTGGCAATGGTATTTCTGTGACAACACGGCAGCGAGGAAGAAACCGGATGAGGCGCACGATGCCATTTTTTACAGCTCAAGGGAATTTCTGGAAGAATCCAACAGCAACAGCAAAACCAAGAAATTCGAATTTGTGAGTGTCAACAGTGATTTGTTCAGCGCAGCGTAAACGAAATATGGCGTAAAAGTGAAAAATTGAATTGGCGGAAAATTCCATTTTTATGGAATGCGCCAATAAAATTGCTCATAAACCTGTGTACAATAAATTCGATGATCATAGCACTGATGTAATGTAATTAGTGCGTTTGACGAAGAACAAGAAGCGGGACAAAGGAAAAAGAGGAAGAAGACAAACAAACACACCACAATAATGATGGGACAGTGGTTTGGACGGGGACGAAAAAATAGAAAATAAAATATATATTGTTTTTATAGCCGCTGCGCGTCTGAATGTAAATCAATCAAGCGAATATACGGTGTTTATGCGGAAATGAGTAGTAATTGTTCGAATGCCAACAGTGAAATGACAATACAATAAGAATTTCCCAATGGAATCATCAAGATTATCCATAAAAAATGACGCCGTTCTCCGTATTGGGAATCGAAACAAAGAGAAAAATACGAATAAATGTACGATTTTGCCTCTGTTGCCACTAGTCCATTAGTGTTTCTATTTTCATCTTTCTATTTTTATATCTATCTATACATACATACACACACACACACATATGCAACTAAAAAAGACACTTAGTCATATGGTTTTATGCATTGTTGTGAAGCACACACGGAGAGAGAAAAACCGCACTATATGCGAAGGTTTCTCCATTTCGATATACTTGACTATTTTGATGAGTTGCTTTTGAATTGGTATTCATATGTTTCCAATTGGTTTTTCTTCCTCTTCTTCTTCTTCTTCTTTGGTGCAACAATTCAATGTTTGTTCAAATGGTGGAGACCGTAGTGATCACTTATTTGTGTGATGATTTGCAGATATCTGAACAATAAAACCGTTTTTTGGAATCAATCAGAGCCTTGGCATAGACTATAGATTTACCAAGTAGGAAACGGTTTCCCTTGAAAAGAAGAACAAACAAACAGAAAACCGATATGTATAAGACGAAAGAAACATGTGTAACGAAGGGAGAGATAGAGAGAGGCAGCTAGTCAGGACAATGGCAATCGTGTAACGTACAAACAACGCATAAACATGAAAAGAATTCCAAATGATTTCGCATTTACGTAATGCGAATTGAATTGGTCTGGCATAAATCCAAATTTACGGCTATAATCGTAAAGAGGGAGGAAGCAAGAGGTACAGAAAGGGAGAGAGAGAGAGAGAGAGAGAGAGAGAGAGAGAGAGAGAGAGAGAG